ACGTTTCCAAAGTTAAAAGCCTGGTACATGCAGCACAATGCATGCATAGCTTCAACCCTCTCTGGACTTCCCCGCGGAACCCCCGTTCATCACCACGTTGATGAGCTTTTGAACATGATGTTCAAAGAAAAGGAGCAAGGAAGACAGTCTGCAGATACTTCTGCAAGTGGCAGTTCATCTAAAGAAGCAAATGAAGAAACCTTTTTAAGTCAATTGCCTGCTTGGGATATTCTGGCAGCTGTTCCGTTCGTAGCTGATGCTGCTTTAACAGCCTGTGCTAATGGGATACTCTCTCCCCGGAAACTGGCTACTGGTAAGTCTAAGCCTCCTCATCTAATTTCCTATAATTGGATTCATGTGTCAACCAGTTTTGATAAAACAGTTGCTCTTCATTATAATTCGGTTCATATGTGCACTACTAAGACCTAGATGTTCTTATCTTTAGGGCTTAAAGTCTTGGTTGATTTTCTTCCTGCATCTGTGGCAACCATCGTTAGCTACTTCTCAGCTGAAGTAACCAGGGGTGTTTGGAAACCAGCTTTTATGAATGGAACAGATTGGCCCAGCCCTAATGCAAATTTGTCAAATGTTGTGGAAAAGATCAAGGAAATTATAGCTGCCACTGCTGTTGAGGTGTCAAGCGCTGCTGCTTCAGGTTTTTTTTTGTTTTTTTTTTCTTCCTACATTACATAAATGTGTACACATAAAAGATACCCATTTCTCAACAGTTTGATCGTATAAATCCCAGAAGTCGATATTAAAAGTTCAAATAACATCAGAAATGGTTCCTTCTCACTCTATTCTAGGATCTATTTCTTCAATAACATGGCTAAGGATTGTTGTTGTCACAGATGGAAGCTGTCAAGCTACAATGCCGTTGCCTCTTGCTGCCTTAGTGAGCCTTACTATAACATATAAAACCGACAAAGATTCGAAACGATACCTCGACTTAGCTAATGTGGCTTTGGCCTCCCTTGCAGCAGGTTGCCCATGGCCCTGCATGCCAATTGTTTATTCACTCTGGACCCAGAAAGCAAAGCGTTGGAGTGCCTACTTTGTCTTCTCTGGATCTCGTACTGTCTTCCTCCAACACCGAAATGCTTTTGTCCAGCTTCTTAAGAGCTGCTTCACTGCCACACTTGGCCTACATTCCACTCCTCTCTCATACAACGGAGGTATTGGAGCTCTTCTTGGCCATGGAATTGGATCTCATATCCATGGCAGGGTTTCTCCTGTTGCCCCGGCGATCCTCTATCTACATGCTTATCCATATTTATCAGACATTGTCTTCTTGAACAAAGAGATTGTTTCCCTCTTGATGCATTCTGTGAGAGAGATAACAGGTAGTGGGTTTCCTATAGAGGGATGCAAGATATTGAAGACGGCCAAGAATGTAATGATACAGGGAAAGTATCAGATGGCTTCAAACTTGACTCGGGTTAAACTAGTGGCTTCACTCGCCGCTTCTTTAGTGTGGTTATCTGGAGGCCTAGGTCTGGTTCAGTCATTGTTTAAAGAATTTCTGCCTTCATGGTTTGTATCTGTTCACAGCTCCAGACAAGAGGGAGAACCAAACGGAGTTGCATGGCTAAAGGGATATGTGGTTGCATACTTTGCATCTCTATGTGGAGGCTTTGTATGGGGTGTTGACTCATCATCCTGGGGATCCAAGCGGCGTCCAAAGATTCTTGGAACTCACATGGAATTTCTTGCAAGAGCACTAAATGGCCAGATATCTCTTGGCTGTGATGAGACCACTTGGCGCTCCTATGTCTTGGGATTCATGAGCCTGATGGTGGTTTGCATGCCAACTTGGATGCTGGAAGTGGATGTAGATGTGTTGAAGACAATTAGTAAGAAGCTGAGGCAGTGGAATGAGGAGGAGCTTGCTCTGGATTTGCTGGGGATTGGTGGTGTTGATTTCATGGGTGCAGCTGCAGAAATGATAATTCAAAGCGAGCCATAATTTCTTGTGTTTTGTTTACCTTTATTCTTCGCTTAAAAAATTCAGCTTGCCAATTGCAGTGATACATTTGAAATCGCAAATTACTTCACTTCTTTATGGTAAAAAATGAAAGCCTTCATAACAATTACGGCAATCCTCAACTTCAAATTGACCAAAACTTTTGAGTGTTTTAGAACCCCAGCACCCTCATCATACAACATCACTATGCCCCGGTGATCTCTTCAGTCTTAGGCTCTGCATTGCTCGCCGTACTGAAAAGGCTTCCTCCCACTTCCCTGCATCTGCGTATATGTTGGATAGGAGAACTCTACCTGGCCCATGAGATGAATCCAACCTTGCCAAATTCTCTGCGGCCATTTCTCCTATTTCCAAATTCCCATGTGTTCTACATGCCGCTAATAACGTGCCCCATATCACTATGTCGGCCTTCATGGGCATGCTCCTTATCATTTTCTCAGCATCTTCTACTCGCCCAGCTCGGCCCAGGAGATCCACCAAACAACCATAATGCTTGATATTTGGTTTTATGTTGTAAACGTTCTTCATGCTTTTAAAATACCTCTCCCCAGCCTCCACAAAGCCAGCATGGCAACATGCACTTAGGACTCCGATGAATGTGATTGAATTGAGTTTGACATTACGCCGTTGCAAGTCCGAAAATATTTCGAGAGACAATGTTGCATGTCCGTGCATGGCCAACCCACATATAATGGCATTCCATGGCGAGACAGTAGAGGCTTTGTCTCGGATTTGGTAAAACACCTCTAAGGCTGTATTGATACTCCCACATTTGGCATACATATCGATGAGTGCTGCACTTAAATTGTCATTAAGAGGAATGGAGTTCTCAAGTACGTATTCATGGGCCCATCTTCCCTCTTTCAATGCGCCTAATGTAGCAATTGCAGAGAAAACACTCACCATCGTAATTTCATTTGGTTGGATCCCACTAGCTACCATTTTCTGAAAGAGTTCCAGAGCCAATTCAGGTTGTTCACTCTGTGCATAACCAGAAATCATGGAACTCCATGAAAACACATCTCTTTCAGGCATCTCATTAAACAAAAGCCTTGCCTGGTCAATCATTCTGTTTCTTATATATCCTGCAATGAGTGCATTCCAAGACGCAACATGCTCCATGATGCCCTTTTCAAACTGAAGATGAGCAAGGCTCATGCGGCCACAAGCTGCATAGAAATTGATGATTGTTGCCTGTATAAAGTCATAGCAGTCAAAACCTTCCTTTACAATTCTCTCATGAAATTGTTCACCTTCATGTATTGCCTCGGACCGCCCACATGCTGAAATCAAATCTACAAGCATAACATCATTTGGTCCCAATCCGGTACGCAGCATTGCTCGATACATCACCATAGCTTCGCTTAGCCAGTCTACTTGCACATACCCATCAATCATTGTACCCCATGAAACCACATCTTTTGTATGAATCATGTCAAACAACTCTCTGGCCAAATCAACAAGCCCAGCTTTTGCATACCCATTTAACATGACATTCCACGAAACTATATTCCTCTCAGACATCTCATTAAACAAACTTCTTCCTTCCCAAACACTTGAACAACCGCAATACATGTGTAACAAATTCGTAGAAACAAGAACAAACCCCTCAAGCTGCAACTTAACTACCAAAGCATGAAGCATTCGACAATTACAAATCCCACCCAAATGGGAGCAAGTTGAGATTACAGTCGCCATTGTCACCTCATTCGGGATCACACCGGCGGACCTCATGTCCTTAAAAACCTTAATGGCTTCAGTCCAACACTCATTTTGGGCAAGGCCCATTATCATGGTAGTGTACGAGACACAACCTTTCCTGGGCATTATCTCAAACAGCCGGCGCGCATTGTCCAAGTGACCAGATTTCACATACCCAGCAACCATAATATTGCAAGACACCGGGTCCAACTCAGAACAAGAACCGAACAGCGACTCAGCATCGGCGATGAAGCCGCATTTGGCATACATGTTAATCAAGCTGTTGTTGATGAAAGTGTTCGAGTGGAGCCCAGATTTCAGAACAATAGAATGGATTTGTTGGCCTTGGAAGACGGCCACGAGGGATGAGCAGGACTTCAAAACCGAAACCAATGCGAGCTCGTAGTTGTTGTGGGTTTGGTTCGTTCTGCATTTGAAGAACAAAAGCAGATGGTCTTCTGGGTTTTGGGTGGTGGCGGTGGAGACCCATTTGAGACCTAAACGAGAGAGGTTTGGAAAGCCCGGGAACGACTTGGGTCTCAGAGATACGAGCATGGGATGAGACCATAAGACGCGTTGAGAGGGGTTTGATTTGAACTGAAGGAGAAAGAAGGTTTTCGTAAGCTTTGTTGGCACACGTCCTTGAATTTATAATTTTTTTTCTTTTTTGATAAATGAATTTATGAATTTAAAGTGTGAATTTTGATGAAGCAAACATGAAAGGAAACTTTTTAGAGAGTGCCAATAACATCACCCCCCAAATACAAATGGAAAGGGTTTAGAAACTTTATTTTTTCCTTGATAGTCTAAACTATTATAAATTAATTTAATTTAATTTACGAAAAAAAGAATTCGAACTTAGGTTTAAGGGGGCAAATTCAATGCCCTAACTAATCTAAACTATTATTATTTCTAACTAATCTAACTAATATAATCATCTCGATTCTTTATTATTATTTCTTTTTCATATAAATAATATTATACTTTAATCTAATCTAAACTATAGGGGAGGGGGATTCGAACTTGGGTGCAGAGTGAGAAGCACATCCGCTCTAGCCAACTCATTAGCTAAGCCCATGTGTGCAACTCATCTCGATTCTAAAAGGTAAATGATTATACAAAAGTTCAAAACCATTTAGCTCGGCAAGCATGGTAGAGAGGATGATAGATTTAACGTCAAATAAATATCCAATTGACATTTCATATATTTATTCTCATTAAATTTGTTATATCCTTCCAAATGTGAGAACTCGCTCGAAATGATGCTTCTCTAGACAAGTTTGTTTCAGACATATGCGTATGCGCCACCAGAATATATGCTCAAAGAAAAAGAATTGTTTCGATTGAGGGTGAAGTACAGACAAAAAGAAAAAAAAGAACATCTATAATCTAACAGGTAAATGATAGAACATGTAAAGGGAGCTCTGGTGGCGAAAGCATCCCGAACAATCAGCGATTGTCTCCTCCATTAGGAACCATACTGGCAAGAGCCCTGCAAGACCAGAGGGAGTTTAGATTATAATCGTCCTCAACCTTAAACAATGCAGATGCAGCCATGGATAGCTTGCACGGTTGCAATTCCAAGTAAATCGTCGATAACACTTTCAAGGTTGGGTCATACAATAGTTAAGACACAAACAATACCAGCCTACAAAAGCAATGAGTTCGCCTGCAAAGAAAATAATAGTTCAACAACCCAACAAATACATTTGATACCTACTGAGGGAGGGGGTGGCTTAGGGCACTATCTTCTAATGATAAAGTGAAACAAGCTGCAAATAACTGAAATTTAATCAAGAAACACAATGAACTAACCAATGACAAAACTAAAAACGAAATTAGCACAGTCATCAAGCTAATTGTCAAAATCTTTCTAGGATTTAGAACTGAATTGAACCAGAAATGCAGCCCAAAGGACACCCTTAAAGTGGACCCATCCTGAATAAGGACAAAGAAAATTGAACCCTAGGAGCCTACAGGTTCTTGCTAAACTATATTGCTGGTTTCTCACTATTGCCTTGCACTACCACTCCTGCTCTCATTCGACAGCTGCATTGTAGGTAAGGTTCTAGAAAACAGACCAAACTACTCTCTTCCCCAAACAGCGAATACATTAGTGAAGGCCTCTTATGGGGGGTTACCTTCTTACACAATACTAATGGCTGGTCAGATAGATCTAGAACCTGCAATGGCTGGGTACTATAAACTGGGATGCCCCATCATGCTACAACAATAAAATGAAGTACCCAACAAACATCAAGACAAATACAAGAACTTAAATCACCATATCATTTTTGAAAAGGAGAACTCAATCATCATATCATCATCCTAATCCTATTAGTTTATACCAAGGACTCAGGTTTGTGTATATACTAATTTTGTGGAGAAAAATCATATAGAACCATGTTCTGCTCCAGTTTGTCTACCAAGATCATACAAAAGCTTCTTCAAATTCTGATTAAAAGCTTCCCACACCAATCGTAAGATAATCTACCTTCTGCACCACTGAGGTTGATGTCTGGTTTATGGACTTAGAGACAGACCCCTAACTTATTGAGCTCAAATACTACTGATCCAAACCCCAATTCTCTCCCTAATACTTATGGAGTAGAAGGGTAAAATGGGCTGTCATTAAATCTGGCCCATTTGTGCTTTCTTTGGTGCTTGGGACGACTAAATCATGTCATGCTCATGCAGTGCTTTAATCGTGTTCGTGTCATAGTTGCGTGGTGCCTTAATCATGCCCCTTCACTTCTTTTAGGGCCTCATCAAGGTCGTGTTTGGCATAGATCATAATACAAGCCATTAGACGGGTGATGCCGTATTGTACCAAACTTGTTTGAAACATGTCATGTCGGTACCATACTCGTACAGTACTAGCCCAGATTGCTTATCTCTACTAGGGAGTACTCTCCTGTTTAATAATCACATGTGCATGCTATTTACACAGATAAATCTAAACACAAGCATAAATCTAACAGTGCACTACCAGAGATATATCAGACCAAAAAAAAAAAAAACAACCAAAGATATATGTCAAACTGGACTCATATATGCAACATACACTATTGAACTCCCAGATAATTCAGGCTCCACTGAGCAAACAAAACATTATTCTAGCCTAGATTGTTTGGAAATTCCAGATCCAATATGCCATAGCTACAAAACAAATCTAGCCAGAGATACAAAATGAAAAGACACATTATCTGTAGTTTATTGTTTCAGTGGTGGATGAATGATGAAAAAGTCACTAAAAGCAAAATCTGGCGACACAGAAAGAGTCCTGCTTCTGAAAAACCCAGTGTTCTACCTTTTACAATATGGACTTGCTGTCATCAATGAAGCATAATCCATATGGATCACATGACTTCTTGAAGATATTATATGAGAGATATCAAACTTGGAGTTGGAGTCAGACCTACATATTAAAGTCCTGCAGATGACTATAAACAGGTAACCAGAGCATAGAGTCTGCGACCAGCTCCGAATAATGAGATCAAGGTTCATGCATGGATATCTATCTAATCTCTACCTCTACAGCCCTTTGGAAGTCAAGAGACCTGGCAATACCTTGTAAACATTTTATACGAATTTCCAAAAAATTAAGCAACCCCTTTAAAGTTCAAATGTTCAATTCATAGCATCCATTAAGTTGCATATATAAACACTTTTCCACTCCAAATTGAAACCTACCCAGATCAATACAAACAAAACATGTACTCAATCCAATTTCAAATCCATATAATCGAAGAAGCAACCAAATGCATGCATGACAAAGAGCATGAAAGAACAATATAAATCAAGAAAACACATGATATACCAACAAAAATTAACATTTCCATGAAAATCTGAAAACTCACTTCTTATGCCGGCGCCCTCGCTTGGGACCCCAACCTTCGAGCTTGGCCACGGGGCACCCGCATCGCGCCCGAAACAGCAGAACGGCGCGGCCATTGGGGGCCGCCATCTTCCTCAGCTCAGACCTGAGACACTCGTAATCGGGATTGCCCTCGCTCCCGCCCTTCCACGGCAGCTTATCGATATCTTTCGACCCGGTCTTCACACACTCCTCGGTCTGCAATTGCAAATCGAATTCCATGGCTTTCTTCAAACCCTTGCACCCAGGCCTGTCGCACTTTCTCGATCTAGTGCCACAGCAAAACTCGACTATGAACAGCGCGACGGCAAAAAAAGCGACGAAGCCGACGACATAAGGGACCGGAATGTGGTGGAGGTGAATGCTAGAGTGAGAGAGGAGGAGAGAGAGGGAATTGAAGATGTAGGAGAAGTAGGAGGTGATGAGGAAGGTCCCGGAGAAGAGGACGAGGATGAGGATTAGGAGGTCGAGGGTTGCAGAAGGCGAGTGCTTGCAGAGGAGGGTGCAATTAGGGTTTCCGTTAGGGTTAGGGTTTGAGGATTTGGGTTTGGGGGTTGGGGAGGACGATGACGTGGCGGCGGCTGAGGAGGGCATGGTGGTGGTGATGGTGGCGAATAGCATGTGGCGCATGTTAGAGAAACGCAGAACGGGGGTTTCTCTCTTTTTTTCCAAATTTATTTATTTATTTACTGAATTTTTATTTATTTATTTATTTAGAATTAAAATGAGGCATTGTGTTTTGTATGTATGAATTTCGGCCTTTGGGGAAATGATGGGGGGAGGGGAGTAAGGGGAGAAGAAGGCTGCTGCTGGTGACGGAGGGCTCCTCCGTTCACGCGCCTTTTGGAGCGAGTATAGCAAGAACCTCCAAACCTTGTTGCGTTAACTATGTAAAAAGTATATTCCTTTTTCCTTTTCATAATGTATTTATAAATTTCCTATAAGTAATTAGTTTAATAAGGAATACTTAATTGAAAATCTTGTTTAGTAAGGGTTTAGCGGTTTAATATCTAAATCTAAATTACACGAGTGACTTTTCAGTTCGCTTGACGTAACATAATATTTTGATATTCGAATAAGAATCACGTGTTAAAACTCAAGATTCAAAGGAATTGCATCTATTTTCTTGACAATAGATCAAAGCTAATTAATTTGGATAATGAGTTTAACTCACGGAAAATTTAGTAACTAGTTTGAGAAAATAAACAAAATCAGAAGAAAATGAGAGGTTTGGTTTGGGTAAGGCTCACCCTTGTGTCTAGACATTTTACTTATTTCAACCTATAAAGCTGTTTTTGGTGCCTAACCTCATTGACTATGTTTTAGTTTTCAATGCCGACATGAACTGATGGTGGACTAAGAGTCTGAGACTAATAAAAACGAATTAAAAGTGAGAACCAAATTTGGCTTTTTGTTTGAGGATTTATAACCACAAGCAAAGTATAAAACGTTAACGTTGTACATGATAGAGCAATGCTCTTGTAGCCAGCCTAACAAAAACAAATAAATGGACCAACAATTTGTTTGAAAGTTTTATCAACAAAAGAAAAGAAAAAGGGTAGCTGATTGTTCTGCTCCATTGATATATGGTCCATAACTTTAGCTGAGAAAGTAAAGAAATCAAACGAATTGCATCTATTTTCTTGACAATAGATCAAAGCTAATTAATTTGGATAATGAGTTTAACTCACGAAAAATTTAGTAACTAGTTTGAGAAAATAAACAAAAACAGAAGAAAATGAGAGGTTTGGTTTGGGTAAGGCTCACCCTTGTGTCTAGACATTTTACTTATTTCAACCTATAAAGCTGTTTTTGGTGCCTAACCTCATTGACTATGTTTTAGTTTTCAATGCCGACATGAACTGATGGTGGACTAAGAGTCTGAGACTAATAAAAACGAATTAAAAGTGAGAACCAAATTTGGCTTTTTGTTTGAGGATTTATAACCACAAGCAAAGTATAAAACGTTAACGTTGTACATGATAGAGCAATGCTCTTGTAGCCAGCCTAACAAAAACAAATAAATGGACCAACAATTTGTTTGAAAGTTTTATCAACAAAAGAAAAGAAAAAGGGTAGCTGATTGTTCTGCTCCATTGATATATGGTCCATAACTTTAGCTGAGAAAGTAAAGAAAAGGAATCAGAAAATAAAGAGAGAAGTTGGGTGGTCCATGTATGAATCATATTGACAGTCCAGATTTCTATTTGTTGCTAGGGTTTCTTGATTTTTGCTACCCTCAGTTGTTCACGTGTGCACGTGACGAAATCTCACAATTACTATGAACTTCACATGCATCAACAGTTAGAAATTATTTGTAAAATTATGCACGAGTGCATAAACAATTGACCGTAGCATACCTCCAAGTGTTTTTATTTTTTATTTTTATACATTGGATTCTCGTGACCGACTCTCAGTTGGCAGCCAATTACCCTCAGTTGTTCACGTGTGCATGTGACGAAATCTCACAATTACTAAGAACTTCACATGCATCAACAGTTAGAAATTATTTGTAAAATTACGCACGAGTGCATAAACAATTAACCGTAGCATACCTCCAAGTGTTTTTATTTTTTATTTTTATACATTGGATTCTCGTGACCGACTCTCAGTTGGCAGCCAATTTGCTCAGTTTTTGGTAGAATGTATTTTGGTGGTGAAATTAAATAATATGGTATCAGAGTTTTAGTTTTGAAACCCACGAATATTAGTTTGTTGTATAATAGTAGTTGGTAATTTCATTCCCTAACCACTTAAAATATTTAATACATATCTCATATAAAAAAACAAAAAAAAAATTGGATACATCAGACAAATTCATGTCCAACCAAACTGATTTTCCACCAAAAATTAATGTAAGAAAAAGACTTGATCCATTCAATCAGAATATTTAATTCTATATTAAACATAATAAATAATTAAATAAATTTGAAGGGCCAGGTTCATTTGGTCGACATAATTTCGATCAGTCTATTGATGCCATGATAGAGAGAACTTTAATTCTACAAGGCAGAAAGAGCTTTCAACAGAACAAATTTAAGATGTACATCTGATTCTATTGCAATGTTTCTTCCATATATGCTACAAAACATGCCTTAAACACCTTGAAATTTCTATCACATATTGATATCACTCCGCCAAGCTCAAACTAAACTTTACTTCAGACCCCCACCAATGACTATCTAGAAAGCTCATAAGATAATTACATGATTAAGATATTGACAGTTCTGGGAACCTCAGAAACAAAGAGAGGGAGGAACCTAGAACTCACGATCAGGGAAAAGAAAAGGAGCCACAAGGGACCAAACATATAGTCCAGCAGTAACCCATTCTGTGCAGATTCGGACCCAAACCGATGTCCAACCAACGTCTATCAGATCTGAACTCTCCGATGAGTTGGTCCAACCCGAAAGAAGCATTGCTGAATACATGCTAGCCAAGGCAAATATCAGGTGGAAAAAAGTGTAGGAATAACTAACAGGTTTTGCTTCTTTTTCCTTGGTTTCTTTCCCTTCTTCCAACTCTTTGCCATCGAGAAGAGGTTTCTTTTCAGCTGCGCCTGTGCCACAAAGTTCAAGTTTGGAAGTACTTAATATGTAGGAGTAGCTTTCATGAATTGCAAATTCATCTTTATTGCTTCCATTGAATAAAAAGGATTACAAAAATTAGTTTTGAGTACCTGCCCTCGGTGAAGATGGTGGTGATAAAAAAGTTGTGGATGATCCAGCACGAAGTGCAGAGTATAAAACTGAAAGAACAGTCGTCGCCATCCCAAGAAGAAGGGTACTTACAGAGACTGCTTTGGAATGGTGAAGACCATTGCAAGCATAGCCACGAGGTTCACTGGAAAGAGCTGTGTAGAGCACATAAGCACTATAAACAGATATCACAGAAGCAGGAAGGAGGCTGCCATTAACCTGTTTCAAATTTCCAGGCCAAAATCATTATGCAGGTTAATTCTCAGTATAAACGTGACACTCTCTACCATAAAGAAACTATATTGACCAATTTAAATTTTTCAGTAGCAGTATTACATTGTACAACCAAATATGATGAATCATCTCAAAAACTAAGCACTGTGAGTCCCAGACCATTCCCTTCAGTAAATATAAGTGAGAAAGTTCTTAAACAGTGTAGGTAAACTTGCTATTGAGCCTTGCAATGCTTTATTCCAGTTATGTAATCCAACTTTTGATGCAATTCACAGTCATTTTAGTATTGCGCATGATTTGTAACTCTCCATGTGGTCAGTATGTTTCAGTGGATTTCTGTCCCTAAACCTATAGGGACTCCAAGATCTCATCCATTTCACCTAATTCTTTGAGCTTTATGACTAGGTTCTAATGGTTTGCATGATCTGCCTCAGGTCAGCATTGTCACAGACTTCTTTCACGAAAAAAATTAATTCTTTTAGATTTGCAGTACTGTGATCACTTTAACCTTATTAACCACATCAAGTTCCTTCAAGAGCATCAGCAAGGCATGGGATTGAAATTCTATGCCATTTACATAGCTACAGGAATAAGTCTAATGATCGATAACAAATGGGGCATGCAGGACATATTACATAACATGTGATACAAATGAACAAAGTTGACCATCTTATCCTTACCTTAGGGTGTAATGCAATTACTGCAAATGAAAATGCAAGAACCATGGTCATGACAATAAAGAAGATATTAAGGCCACAGTCTTCGCCAGAGGGGTTGAACCAAATGAACATAATGCCTGAGATCGTAAATGCTGCAAGGTAGCATACAATTGATACAACAAGCAAGGCAATATACCTGGAATATACACATTTATAGAGTGAGTATAGAGTGAGAACTCAAATTAAACACGTGAAAGGGAAAATGATAAATGAGTACTTAAACCAACCATTTTTGTTCATCTTTCTCCACCCATGCATCATTCCATGAGTGAGTAAAGTCTAGTAAGATAAGCACTTGAACGAGTAAAAATAAGCCAGCCCCAAATTTTGAAAGGACACCTGCAAGCACAGGGAACAATATAAATTTTACTATTAAAGATGAGAAATGGTGGGGAGATAACCATCCATTAGAATCAGATTCATGACTGGCCCAATAACGTGGAAGTGTTGGCCCCTTGCATCGTATCTAAGATCAGCATATTCATCTTATACCACAAGCCAAGCCCTGAAGTTCTAAAATCCAACCAATGAAAGATTTTGTTGTTATATTCAACTATCTAGTTATTTTCTCAATAGTCTGATGGGTGGACTTTATTTCTTGTAGTAAAAATGAGGCCATGAAAGCAGTTTTCCCTTACTTTAATTGAAATTAATCAACTCTGTGTCAACTAATGAAAGAAAGGAGATGGTTGATTCTAAGATCCCATATGTCCTATTTATATTCCACAGCTCAAAAAGAATAATTCATCCCCTAGTAAACAGCACAAAAGCCAGGAATCTCAAAAAGCATCCAAATTTCTATATATTTTCAAACACACATATTAGTTATCATATGCCAAGGAAATGCATGATGGAAATTTTAGCTGGAGTGAGAACCGTTAGCATTCAAAGCATTAATTATTAAATAAGGGCTGAAAAAGAGAACATTCTTATTTCCAAAAAAATTCAAAGAAGCATGTTACTATCCTATTGCAAAGAATACATTTTCCAGGGAAATTTTAGGGCTATTAGGGCTACAGCGTGCAAATTATTGTTTCACATAATGCCAAAAAACAGCCAAGACAACTCCAGTAGTTACTTTTCCTTTGAACATCTCAAGCACACACATCAACAAGGCAGGATCACATCATTCTCAATTGCACCCGGTTAAAGAAATGAATCAGACTCA